AACAAGAACCACCAAGTCACCTGTTATACTGAATCATTTCCACAATTTGTTTTATAAAATAGCTGACTTGATTTTAGTGAAACCATCCAAATGTACTATTCTATTAAATAGAACAGGTAACACTCACCTGTTACACCAGTTTTAGGATAAAGGAACTGGAAGAATTCCTCAGGAATCAGCCCAAGACGAACTTTTCCGCCATATTCAGGAAGAGGTGGCACAGGAGCAAATCTTGGCTGCCCTGTGTGAAAGATCCTTGTTGCCTGCAATACCCTACAGGTAACAATGGCACAAATTTAAGACCTACTTTTCAAATAAAAAACGGTGTATGAACAAATAGCAAAAACAATGAATGGGAATGAGGATTCAGGCAGTTTCCCATGTCATAATGAAATAAAAATGGACTACAAGTGCAAAGTTAAATGTGACAAGGACAATGACTTAATCACTCTCAAAGCCATATATAATCTTCTATCTACTCTCTTCGAGTTTTATAGATTACCTATCTGGCATTTTCTCTACAGTATTAAAATATATGGATCTTTCAGAAGATTCTCTGGGTTAAAATCCTAGACCTGCCACTTAAACTTTTGTAATCTCGGATTTCTCTATGTAAAATGGGAATACACCATATCACTTTGTAGGGTTGCTGTAAGGATTGATTTAATACATGTAAAGTGCTTTCAGAATGGTGCTTGGCATATGATAAAATTCTATGTAAGATAGTATCACATGCCTGCTAGGTTGTATGTTTCTTTATGCTGATAATTTTGGCATTTTCATTATTCAGACTCAAGTCCAAACTGAACTGTCCTCCAAGTTTCTGGAACCAGGGAAATGTGGCTCACAATGGGCTGGAAGTGACTGCTCTGGGATGGGCTCTTTCTACGGAGAAGGGTCTGCAAGAGACTGTCCCAACAAAGAAATGAGGACGTGAGCAACCTGTGAGTTTCATACTATGATGTCTGGCTGGAGTTAGGCCCAGAGGCCCCTACAAGTCCTGCTGGTTAGCCTGTTACCTGGAAGGTTCCTCTGGGATAGTGTGATACTCAACAACACCAACACTCTGTTGTGGGTTCAAATCACCTAGCATGGAAGTTTTCACTGGGCTCTTCGTTGTAGTGAGCAATGTGTTGATCATCGGGATGATCAAGCTGAACCCTGCTCTGGAGACCACGCCATGTTCTGTTTCATTGTCTCCCTGGCTCTGGTTGAGATTGCAGTCGGGCTGCTGGTTATACCTCTGGCCCTTGTCTTAAGCCTGAACATCCCAATATACTTCTACAACTGCCTTTTTATGTGCTGTGTGCTACTGATCTTCACCTCTATCATGTCCTCTAGCCACTGCTGTGAGCTACAACCCCAACTTTTCATTTATTTTTTGAATATTATTTATGCTTTTTAGTATATCAGCTATCTGAAGCTTTGGAATCGGAAAGCCATGCTTAAGACTTCCTCACTTAAATAAAAGTTCTCAGCATCAGCACTACTGACATTCTGGATTGGACAATTCTTTATTATAGAAGGTTGTTCTATGCATAATGTTTAGCACTATCCCTGTGGCCTTTATACACTAGACACCCTGCTCCTCTGTGGTGACAGCCAAAAATGTCTCGACACTGCCAAATGTCACCTGGGGGACTAAACTGCCCAAGTTGAAAACCACTGATTTCAATCACAGCATTAGAGAACTTGCTTTAAACTGATACAAATCCTCTCACCATCTAGCTTGAAACCTTTACTGTTGCTTTCTTAAACTCATCCAACAATCCAAAACTTGATCACTCTGCTTCCTATCAAATACCCCTTAATCAAAAAAAAAAAAAAAAGAAAAAAAAATACCCCTTAAATCTAGCCTCTTCATATTACTGCTTATGTTTCTAAAAATGCAAATCTGACTTGCTAACTGTTTAATAAGCTGTACTCTGCCTACAGAAAACAAATGACTTAATATAACATACTCGGCTCAGAACCCATCACATTTTTGTAACCTCTTCCTTTATTCTACCTCCACCCATATGGAACTGCTTATATCTCTCAAAAACAAAACAACTGCTTTATGCTGCTCCTTCTGTCTAATATGCCCTTCAGTTAATGACTGCCAGGTCCAATCAATCTTCAGAACATTTCAGGCATATCTTCTATAAAGGTGTCCCCAACTTTGGGCTAACATGAATTCATTTAATGAACAAAACACTTGATTTTTTAACCTATGCTAGGCACTGGGAACACAGCAATGAATACAGTCCCAGTGTTCAACATCCTCATGGTGGTTGTGAGAGGGGTATGTCCATACAAAATTTCACATGCTGTAAGTGCTGTGAATAACGGAGCAAGGGAACAGGAAAGCCTTTTGGTAGATTAGATAACATCTGAGCCAATGACTTGGAGCAAGTGTAAAGATCCTAAGGCAAAAACGAGCTTGGCAGTTTGCAGAGGTGGTACAGCAAGGCCAGTAGAACTGAAAAATGAACTAAAAAGAGAACAGAAGGAAATGGTCAAGAGATAGGATGGTTCAATTTATGTTGTCTGGGTTATGCTAAGTTTGGGTTTTTTTCAAGAGGGATAGGGGCTCTGAAGGTTTTAGGCAGAGACTGACATAATCACCCTGTCTACTGTGAAAATGGGCTCTGCTGTGACAAGACTAGCTAGGCCACTGAAACAGCTTAGATAAAAGTTGATGGTCATTTCACTACAGTAGTGGTGGTAGGGGAAGTGATCAGAATCAAAACGATCTGGAGGAGGAGCCTTGCTGATGTACTGGAGACAAGAGTGTAAAGAAAATCAAGCATGTTCCTTATATCTTCTATATATTGTTAGATCTTTTATTACTCTTAACTCAATTTTTAAAGTCTGTATGGAGTCTTCTCAAGTTGGAAGTAGCCAATTATAGTCTCACATTACTGCACACACAAGACAAGCATATATAAATTATAGCCATTTTTCAAGGTATAGAGTAATTATTAATTTTTAGGACTAAACTTGGAATTACAAGAAGAAATCTCAAAGAAAAATGACGTTTTATAAAACAATTTTATCAGCTGCTAACATGTACTAAGTCAGTGGTGGTGAACCTATGGCACGCATGTTTTTTTTGTTTGTTTGTTTAAAGACAAAAGATATTAATGCATCGTTTTTCCTAAACTGAAACCTCAATATATTCAGGTTTAATTGCAGTGTTGGCACTCTGCAGTAAGTAAGTGGGTTTTGGGCTGCAGTTTGGACACTTATCTCTAAAAGCTTCATCACCACTGTACTAAGTACAGACTACGTACCAAGTACTGTTTTTTTCCGCCCTCTAATTCAGCAATTGTTTCTTAATCCTGATAACGCATAACACACTATAGTAGGAGATAGTTTATTTATTTAGCTTATGAGTAAAGTAGCTAGCTAGTGGAAGGGCCCGAGAGAGTGGGGTGACCAGCCATACTCATAAAAATTAAGAAAAATGAACTAGGGCTTTGGGCAAAGAATGAATTTCCGTAGGCAGCATGGAATGCAACCTACTCAAGATCCTCAAGGCAGGTACAACCACTCCCTACTAAGATCCTGAATTTCGAGAAAGTTATGCAAATTATTCCATTTCTTCGGACATCCCAGTTTATTGTAAACACTGAGTGAAAGAACTGGACTACAACTGAACTAGAGAGCCTGAGTCCCAATTGATCATTTTTAAATCCAGAGTCATCTGGATAGAGTACAGGCAGCTCCTATACCCTTCTTGCCTATACGTAATTCTAAATTGCAAGGTCATCCGGCAACCCACTCAGGACCCCTCCTGTCTCTCAGAAGCTATTTCTATTCCCCAATAAATCTTTCCTACTCTTAACCACCTCTGCCCTTTGGAATTCATTCTTCCATTTCAGGAGCATGAACTCGGGACATCTAGCAAGTTGGAAGTTGTATTTTTTCCTGTATCACTATCATCTCTACTTTGGAGATGAGGAAAATAAGGTTATACAGCTAGCAAGGAGTCAGGTGTATCTTGTGCTACCTTTGGAGACCTCATTCTAAATCACTACTTTATAGCTGATTCTACGCCTAGATTGAGTTTGAGCTCCATGAAGGCAGGCACTCAGTCTTACTCATATTTTCTGTGGTGACAGTGGTAAGAAAAATATTTACAGAACCAATAAATGATCTGACTTCTATGACCCGGCGGTAAAAAGTAGGAATCCATGAGATACTTCAACAACACGCTTCACTGTTTTATTTAACAAAACCTTTAGTTTTTAACTTAGCAATTGGTTGTGGCAGCTACTTGTAGCTGAAGGTCACAAGGGGGGCGGGGCTTAGGAGACGTCAAAGCCAGTTTCTAGTTTAGTAGTGCATTTCACTTATCCCCTTACCTCTGTCATTAGGTGATATGAGCACGCTCCTGGCAGTTACAGGAGCAAGTGTTTGAGGCTTTTAGATTCCCCAAATTATGAAGAGAGGTAACCTCCGGCCTGAAGCTAGGAGTAGTAAATCAAGAAATGAAACGAGGTGAAAAACCAAAGACAGCATTGCACTCTTCACACTTACCCTGGTCCTAGCAGCGCTGCGTTCTTCAGACAGGGTGCTGCAGATGTACAACGCGCAGGTCAGCAAAGTCAAGGTACAATTTAGTCTGTCCCTTCCAATGCCACGCACCACTCTTTCCCGGTGCCCCCAGAGCCCGCTCTGTTTTCACGCAAGCTGATCACCCCCCATTCAGGCCCATACGTCGGTGGGCCTTTTGCACCCGCTTCCACTCCCTGTATCACCTAGATTCGCTTCTTTCCAATCACCTTCATAGCCCAGACCTGAGTCTACACCACTCACCCGCTGTGGCGGCGGCAGAAAGTACCACCCGGGAGAGCATGGTCAGCAAAGGTCCAGGAAACGGCCTCGGCGTCCCTGTGACCCCGACCAGAGACTGGTCAAGAGCAAGAGCAAGATGGCCGCGACCAAATCTCGCGAGAAGAGAACTGCGTACTATCATTCCTTTCAGTTCTAGTCAGAAGGTTTTTTTTTTTTTTCCTCTCGCGAGAAGAGGCACAGAGCCCCGAAAACTTGTTGAAGGTGGCCTCCAGGCTGGGAGCAGGTTGGAAGTGGTGCAGAACTTCTCGCGAGAAATAGAGCTACCGTTGCCTCCAAAGAGAGGCGGGGGCTCCGAGGTGCGACGGTGTTGCCGCTGGGGCTTAATCTGGCGGCCATCCAGTTTGAGATTAGGAGGGATTTGGAACCGTGGAGATGCGGAAGGAAACCCCACCTCCCCTAGTGCCCCCGGCGGCCCGCGAATGGAACCTTCCTCCTAATGCGCCCGCCTGTATGGAACGGCAGCTGGAGGCTGCGCGATACCGGTCTGGTGAGCCGAGATCCCGGGCCGGGGAGCTCCCTCCCTCTCTCCCGGGGCGCCCCTTCCCGGGAGTGACCCTCTAGCCCGCCGCGACCCACGTGCCAGTCGACTCTTGTCTCGCGTCGCCGAGCTGCCCGAACCCTGCCCCACATCCCTGAGCGCAGATCCAGACCTGGCCCGCGTGCTGTTCTGTGCGATCACCATAGAGACGAGCCCCTCCACCTCTCTCGCGCTGACACCTTGTACCCTCTCTTAGATGGGGCGCTTCTGCTCGGCGCCTCCAGCCTCAGTGGTCGCTGCTGGGCCGGCTCCCTCTGGCTTTTCAAGGACCCATGTGCTGCTCCCAATGAAGGCTTCTGCTCCGCTGGAGTCCAGACGGAGGCCGGAGTGGCCGACCTCACTTGGATGGGGGACAGAGGTATCCTAGTGGCTTCTGATTCGGGTGAGTCACTTTCCCCTTCCCTTCCCGGCGTAGAACGGAGTCTCGGTACAGGTCGGACTGGGCTCAGTCTTTACTGTCCCATAATCAGTGCCTGGAGGAGTTGAGAGTGTTGTCAAGTAGTTGCGCAATTTTTTATTAGTGTCTGAATAGCTGGAAGGGTCACTGGGTTGTGTGTGCTGAGGTGATTGTGGAGACTTCATCCTTGTCCCCTCATTTCCCAGTGTTCTCTCATGGAAGCAGAATAATGGATTTTGTAGGTTATTTTATCTTTCCCTGCCTTCCTAAAGGAGTTTTTTTCCGCATAATTGTCTAGGCTGTTATTAGGAATACAGTAAGGCTGCGTAAAACCAAATGGCCTGGAAGTTAGTTAAACTCCCTAATGTTATGGGTTTTTCCTTTTAGAGGAATGACTTACTTTGTTAGTTTAGTGACAACGGTTGCATGAGTTTTAGAAGAAGTACTGTTTTGGTGTAATCTAAGCTCATGTTTCCCTTATTCCCTCACCTCACCCCACTTCATCCCCAACAGGTGCTGTTGAGTTGTGGGAGTTGGATGAGAATGAGACACTTATTGTCAGCAAGTTCTGCAAGTATGAGCATGATGACATTGTGTCTACGGTTGGTGTCCTGAGCTCTGGCACACAAGCTGTCAGTGGTAGCAAAGACTTCTGGTAGGACCCTGTTCTCATCATTTCTGTCTCTAGATTTCCTTTGATTGCCTTACTATCCTGTTAATTTAAGTGACATTTTAGGTTTATTGTAAGAATCTAGTGACTAATTACATAGCATGTCTTTTGGATTGCCTTAGAGATTTGACAGTTCCTTGTAAAACAGAACATAGCAGGAGTCCAGGAGGCAAAGACATGGGACATGCTGGTTAAAGGAAGTTCTTGTATGAACACATTTTTGTTGATAATGCAGACCAAGAGTAAGTGTCTGTTTCCTGTTTCTTTTTACTTCTTAGCATCAAGATTTGGGACCTTGCTCAGCAGATGGTACTGAACTCATACCGAGGTTAGTATTCATTTCTTTTCAGTCTTGGCCTTAGCTGTCTTGTTTTTATTCCCTTTGGGGTCTTTACATTTTGGATGTTAGGAGCAGCAGTTCCATGTTCTGCCTGGAGGTTTTGTTTGTTTGTTTTTCTAGGAAACATAGTCAGATTCCAATATATACCCCTTCTCCTTGTCTCAGTTTCTCTATTTCTATTGATGGTCTCATACCTTCTTGGCTATATAGGACTTACATGTTCCATCTTCTTCCACTCCTGCTTCCCCACTATACATTGGTCACCAGCTTGTCTGGTTTCTCTGTTTCTATTGATGGTCTCATACCTTCTTGGCTATATAGGACTCAGTTTCTCTATTTCTATTGATGGTCTCATATCTTTTTGGCTATATAGGACTCAGTTTCTCTGTTTCTATTGATGGTCTCATACCTTCTTGGCTATATAGGACTTACATGTTCCACCTTCTTCCACTCCTGCTTCCCCACTATACATTGGTCATCAGCTTCTTTTTAGTCATCTGTTTGCTCAGTCATGTTCCTGTCCATTTCTAAGGCCTTCTTTCCTACACTGAATTCCAAATCCTTTAAGGATGGAGGAGCTATGTGTTCTTCATCTTTTATATACTGTCATATATGTGCTTGTCTCAGAGTTTGCTTATTTCAACTGAGCAATAAATTTTCTCCTTGACTTACTGTGCTTCAGGCTTTCCATTTATTTGGGCTAGGAAAGAACTATGGAAAATGGTTCAGTCTTCATGGCAGGACAGGAACACATTCAGATTACCTTGGAAGGTGGTTAGAGATGGTTTTTACAGCTTGTACTTAACGTGTAGCAATGATCTTCAAAATTTTTTACATGTAGACCTCCTAAAAGAATTTGAAAGCTATATGCCCACCATACATTTTTAAATTGCTATCTGAAGTATTTTAAATTTAAGTAGTTGCAAAGGTAATTTCTGGCATATACTTTATTGTACACTTAATACATTACGTTTGTCAAAATTTTGGATTAGCAAAGTTAGTGCATTTATTCAAAATATCTACCAAATAGCAAAAACCAGTTTGCATTGTTAAGCCATTGGCCAAGTTAAATTTTACTTTCTGTCAGAAAAAAGTCTGAATTCACTTGTAAATTCAGATCAATTTGTTAGATGTGTTCTTACAACAACCTTCTACCAATTTCTAATTCTCATTATTAGAAATAGATAAATCACAAAGCTAGGCTTTTACTTTTGATACAACTCAAACAAAGGCAATCCCCTTACTGAATTTTACCTGGATACTGTTTGCTTTGACCTTTGGCCTTTAGGGAAGAGCCTTTAGTTTAGACCCTTAGATTTTTATATACCTGAGCACTGTGCCATGGGAAGATTTGGGGGATGGGTGATTATGAAAACAGAGGCAGCTCAATCTTAGGAAAGAAAATGTTAGAAAAATCTACTTAAAACTCTCAATGCCAAGAACTCTTCCAGGAGTTTTTGTATACTACTTGTAGATACGTATAGTCCAGTATGAAAACGGTTCTTCTATTTTTTTTTTTTTTTGTACCGGGAATTGAACTCACAACCTCATGCTTGCTAGGCAGGGGCTATGCCGCTGAGCTACATCCCCGGCCCTGTTCTTCTAGAATATTATGTAATTCCTGCATCTAGTATATCTTAACTGCAAATTCTTTCACTGTTACCAAACCTCTAATTTCTCCTTCATTGTCTTTATTAATTCCTTATACCTCTGTCAACCTTTCCTCTTAGATTTTCTTAATTTATAGCCTCTCATAAAATCGGTTAAGTTGCATCAAGAAACCAGGCGTGTTTCTCACAGCCTTCCTCTTGCCCTTTGGTTTTATATCTAGGTTTGCCTTGTAATGTTCTCAGCCTCCCTCCTGTTACGTGTCTTTCTCCTTCACAGCGCATGCGGGGCAGGTGACCTGTATTGCTACCTCTCCTCACAAGGACTCCATGTTTCTTTCATGTAGCGAGGTAAGATACAGCTTCTTTCCCAGTCCCAGTTGGAACCTACGGGCCAAAATTTGTGGTTTGGGGACCTGCTCTCAGCAGCTTCTTTGCATTGTAGAGCCTTTTTCTGTTCTTCCTTCTAGGACAGTAGAATTTTACTCTGGGATACCCGATGTCCCAAGCCAGCATCGCAGATGGGTGAGTCTGAGAGCCAGTGGTGGGAGGGTAGTACTGGAAGAGGGTTTCTTTGGCCAGAGTCGAAGCAGAGCTGCCAGATGCCCAGTCCCTGACATAAGGACACTGTATAATGAGTACCAAAAGGAAGGGCTGGTTCACTTTATTTTGTAAAGCAGGGAAAGAGGGTTAGAATTACGGTTTCATGCATTGTGCTTGAAACTTGCCTGTAACTTGTACCTGGGTAGAGGGCTGAAGACTGATGGATAAATGTATTTATAAAGTTCAAGGGTGAGGACATGACTGCTTTCACAGAGTTTGAGGAACTGAATAAAGGTGCTCCCTGGGTTTAGACTGACATCATTTGACAAACTACTCAGAGTTTTGTTTCAAACCTCCCTTCTGTCCTTTGTAGGCTGCAATGCGTCTGGCTACCTTCCTACCTCCTTGGCTTGGCATCCTCAGCAAAGCGAAGTCTTTGTGTTTGGTAAGGCAGCGTGTCAGGGCGCATACTGACTCGGGGAAGGGAGAGGATGAGAGGGGAAGAACAAACTCCATGGTGCACATGTCCTTGCTGTCAGTCTTGTCAGCACAATTGAGTCCCGGATGAATTATGCTAGTTTTAGTTTAGCTTTGGAGAACTTGATTATTTTTTCTCATTGTATGTGATTCTTGGTTGTTTCAGCTTTTCTATTCTGAGCATGGCTAGAAATCAAGGAACCACATCCGGGTGGTGTGTTACATGGAGAACTCTGGTCTGCTGTGGGTGGATGTGGTGCAGTGGTGGTAAAGAGGCTGTGCACATGGTGACAGTTTGTTGTTGAAACCGCCACTACTTCATCCATTAATTTCCATAGCGACTCAGTGATGTATTGATGTATTGTTCCTACTTTGCAAAAGAGGAAACTGATGCTCAGTAATTAACTTGTCCGAGCTATAGAAACTAGGATTCAAATCCTAATACCAGAGCCCTTGAGCTTAACCACTGTCACCTTCCCTTTCTTTTTTCTGTAGGTGATGAAAATGGGGCTGTGTCCCTTGTGGATACCAAGAGTGCAAGCTGTGTCCTCAGCTCAGCAGTTCACACCCAGTGTGTCACCAGACTAGTGTTCTCCCCACACAGGTAGTGTTATTTGTCAACAGGATCCTTTAGATATGAGTGGGCAGGTGAGGGGCATGCATATGTTGGCAAAGCATTAGCTGATCAAGTTCGTTCCTTAAGGCAGGCAGGCAGTACTCTAGTTGAGATTTCTGACTTTACAGTCAGTCTGAAGATGGCTGATATGTTGTCTCATTCCTGCTCAGCACCCAGAATGATTTATGTTGCGGGCTTTAGGGGTGTGTAGTTGGCAGAGCCCGTGTCTCTGAGTTACTGCTGAGACAGTAGAGAGAGCTCACATGAGGTAATTAGTTGCTAGGGAGCTCTGCTCTATTTCATATTTCCTTGGAACTTATAATGGTAACCAGACCTTCGAGCAAAGTGGGGATCAGGATGCTGTCTCCGCTGGATCTCTTTACAGTGGGGTTGGGGTGGGCCCAGTCAGTTTTTTGTCTTGGAATCTGTGGACTTCACTCTTCACATACATCTCTGTCCTGTCCTAGTATTCCCTTCCTGGCCTCCCTCAGTGAAGACTGCTCCCTGGCTGTGCTGGACTCGAGCCTTTCTGAGGTGTAAGTATGAAATGGAATCCTGTGATCAGCAATCAGGGAGAGAGCAGTGATGAACACGTTCTTTTCTTCTCTTCAGAAGAGGGAGAATTCTCTGTCTGTATCTGAGGGGACTGAGGATTAGAAGCAGGTACACTCCTCCCTCTACTCAGGGCTGATTGACAACCAGCTGTGTCCCTGGTAGAAGAGGCCTGTGGAGGGGTGGGTGGAACTTCTGATTCTAGTGTTGAGGCCTCTCCCATAGGAAGGAAGCCTACCCTTTTCACTTAGAGAACCAGGTGTATGAAATGCAACCTGCTATAAGGTAAAAGGCACGGGCTGGAAGATTGGAGTTCTACTTCCCTCTGTGCCATAATTTGCTGCCTAACTCTGGCCCACATTGCTACCTTGTTCTGGCCACTGTTTCTTCCTCTAAGCAAATGGAGGACGGGGTTGGATGACTGCACTACTCCTCTGGTGATGGGGGCATACAGATGATGAAATGTGTACACATCAAAATAATGTGCTGTGGATGTGTTGGGTCTCTTGCTTCTTACATCTGCTTTTTCTTCTTGTCTCTACCATGTCCAAACATTTTCTTTTTTCTTTCTTCTGTTCTAGGTTTAGGAGCAGAGCCCATAGAGACTTTGTGAGAGATGCTACTTGGTCCCCACTCAATCACTCCCTCCTTACCACGGTGGGCTGGGACCATCAAGTCATCCACCATATTGTGCCCATAGAACCTCTCCCAGACCTCAGACCTGAGAGTACTGCTGAGTAGACTGTATTTAAGAAAAAGGCAAACCCCCATGCTATTTGTCCTTGGCCTCAGTTTGTGAGACAGCTATAGTGTATTGATACACTAAATCTGTAAAATTAATAGGAATTGTAGTTCAGCCTGAGGGGAGCTGGATTTTGGGATACTATGGTATCCCAGCAAGAGGAAACTTTCTAGAAAATGGAAATATATATATATTCCTCCAATCAGTGCATTTGTAGATCCATAGCTTTTTTGGGGGGGCTTAAAATCATCCTCAGTTTTCCCAAGCACCACTCCCTCCCCACCAAAAAAGTTGACAGAAAGTTTTATGCTTTTCAAGTTTGTAGGGAATTGGCTGAATGTTTGGAAGCAGCTCTTACCTGTTCATAGAGATAGGGGCAACTTATTTTACAGGGCTTAATTCCCTATTATGGGAAATAATTCCATGCATAAGAATCCAACCCAGCTACTCTGAAGAAGAGGCAAGGCACACTCACCAAAGTTTGCACAACTCCTTGCCGTTAAACTGAATCAGAAATCTATTTTCTGGCTGCAGTTTGGCTGGTGCTTACATGATGCCTGCTCCTCTGCCCCCATGACATTATGTATAAGAGATGAGTGTTTTTCCACAGAGGGAAGTTAGGGATGGTGGAGAGCTTAAAGGCACTTCAGCAAAGTTAGAAAACTGACAGGGACTGTTACAGAGAAATCTTTGTCACTTTTCCCACCCAAAACCAGCCTGGAGTCTGACCTGCTTCTGGACCTCTTTCTTTGGATATAGGAAGTCTCAATGTTGTATTGTGAACTCCTCTAAGATTCTGAAATCCCACATCAGGGAAAAGAATGCAATATTGTTTGGCAAAATAAAGAGTTTATGTGTTTGTCTTTTTTGAAGTCTGTTATGTGCAGATAAATATAGTGTATTTCACTTATGTGAGTCAGGGTATCAGTCTTTTATTTTGGTTTTCTGAGACTAGGTGTCGCTGTGTAGTTCAGGCTGGTCCTGAACTCACAGCAGTCCTGCCTCAGCCTCCCTAGTACTGGGGTTACAATTGTGTGCCACCACTCCCAGGGAGGGTGTCGGTCTTACAGCCTACTGTGTTTTCTGCTTCTGCAGTTGTCAGAGTAGCTAGTTGGAATTTAGAGTGAATATTTCTTTTCTTGACTGGTTGGAATGGCCATTGATAGAAGTTATGAATAACTTAGTGATTGTATTGAAAGTAAATACAATCAGTTATGTACCTTTGAAATTTGCAAATTTAGGTAAAATTACATGAAATTTGTGCATCTTAAAGGAAGAGCTGCTTCCAAGGAAGATGGACAAGATATTTCTTAAGTAAAGTTTGCATGCATCCTGCTAATCAGAACTCCCTATTCTCTTGCTTACCCTTGAGTAAAACATGAGAAGCCATGATTTCTTGGCATTAAGGTGAATAAAGTCTTCTATAACTGTTGACTTCCTAGGAAGAAGTCAGATGGGTAGGTGGAGTCGCTTAAGTTCTGCTCAGAGGTAAAAGCTTAAATTTTTTCACTTAGAGTAAGGAGGTGTGTGACAGGGCAGGTATTTATTTAGATCGCTTTTTCCTCTTGGGTTTAAGAAGAGTAGAGAAAAACCAGAAAGAAAAGTTGCCAAGGTAATGTGTGTCTGTGTTAAGATGGTTACAGTGATACCAAAGAAAGAAAGCATAGTTGTTGAAAAACATGTTATCTTTTATTATAAAACAAAAAAGTTGGCTTTACATGGATTTATGCATGATTCACATGACTGCCACAAGACGTGTAAACCTAGTCAAAGTCATAGGAACAAGTAGAACAGTTTTGGATGCACCTGTAATGGTGAGAAGATAGTTTTTTTTTAAAGGTGACCTCAGAATAATGCAGTGCCATGTGGGTTGATTCACTGGGTCCTTGACTGCAGTTTTAGGACAGTGAGTATGGACTTACTGGTGACAGTGATGGAGAGCATTTTGTTTTAAAAAACACATCTTGCATTTAATCACACTCATTCAAATGTCTATAAACACTAGTAAATCCATTTCCTAACTTAATTATTCTTACTCTGAAGTCCATTAGCCTGATCCACTGTATTCTAATACTGATCTCTTTTCCACGAAGGTCTTTAGTAGTCCTTGGACCCACAAGGAACACTGAAGAAATTTTACACATATAGAGGTAAAATCAGACACCGGGCTGATTCAGTGTCTCTTCCTGCCCCAGAGAACAGTTGGGATATGGGTCATTAATAAATTGCTATCTAGGCATTATTGACTCACAGTCAGAGCAGCAAAAACAAACGGCCATGTTTCCCAAGGACAAAAGATGGGCTAGGGTTGTATTTTACTTGAGAAATTAGATTCAACTTCAGGTGCCTCTAAAAGATAACTTGCCGCTAGACCTGAGTAATAAAGGGCTCTGATTTTTAAAAGATACCGTTGTTGCCTTTGGACAGCATCAGAAGAGACACAATGTTTTTGTGCATTCTGAAAAGCTTTAGGGCATCTAAGGAGAACCGATCCAGAAGAGGCTGAGAGAATTCACACCCAGTCACCGTTTGTAGGGAACATCTTATTGTCAGTCTGCATGTGGGTCACACTGAACAAATCAGAATCATTTTTCTAGGAAGTTGATTTTTTTTTGGAAAGTGAGCAAACGTCTCAGTTTTAAGCTGTATAAAATTTCTCTCAAGAACTTAGACTACAGCCTATGTAGTGCAGTTTTGGAAAAGCAAATAAGATAAGTAGATCACTGTTGGGCTCAAAACACATTTCCTTGTTGAATTCTCTATCAACAAAGGGGCAGTTAAGGAGTTTTGCATCTTTACAATCACAGGCATAGTACAGAGGATCTAAGGGAAGCATGAACATCTGAAAAAGAAGGGTCAGTTCTTAAGTTGTAGAGGCACACTGCACAACCCAAGGTCCCATAATCTCACACATTTAGTGTGGAAACCTTCCTTGCAAACAATGCTCTGTAGCTTCAGTGTAAAGAACAGATTATCAAAATTCAAATAAGAGTTTAGCCTCTAAACAACATTGTTAGACATTCTGATGGAAGCCAAGCCAGTGTCATTGGTTTTGAGTTCCTTTAGCAAATATAAATATGTCTCACTTGTCCCTGTAATGGAGTTCAAGATTGCAGTCAAGTATTTCACACTGGGAGGTACTGAGTTATAAGAATTAGGAATTTGAGTTTCAATTTGGTCTCAGCTACATAGTTAAGGTTGCTTTAGTAAATGGATTTTACATGTACAAGTTAATTAGTTTCAGGTTCTGCAATCTTTCCAGCTTGTCTGTCACAAAAGCCCTCTGATGCTGGCTGGCCTTAAAAGTGTTTCTAAGGCTGGCTGTGCTCATTGCCTTAGTTGCTTTTGCTTGGTTGCTGTTGGTTATGGGGCTATAAAGATAAGTCAGTCATGGATTCTTCACCAAGAGCACTCACTTTTTAATAAGTGAAGTTTGACTTTTAAATAGTAAAAGACTTTAGTAGTATGCTCTGAAGTCTATGGTAGAACATAAAGAACAAGAAAAAAATCTGTGAAAGCATGGTTTTATATGATATATTTTTTCTAGTACACATTAAAATAAACATTAAAACATTTATAAAACTAGGCCAGGAAAGGAAGGAGGGGAGAGGGCAGACAGGGCAGGGGGAATAAAAATGATCAAGATGTATATGTATCAATTCCCCCAAAATAAATAATTATGTATCAGACATATACTAATAATTTTAAAAATTTACTGGAGAAAAGAATACAAAATAAAAATCCTTCATGCACAAAAAAAATCATTTTTTGTACAAAACATTGGGAGATCACCTTTACTTTAAAGATGAGATAATTTATTAGAAAATGCCCTTTAAAATTTACCATTATCTGTGGTGAACACTTATATTGTTCAACCACCGACTGATTTTATTCAATGATACTTTTCCAATTTACCTACACGAACATGATGAAAGATTTGGATAAAGGCTTTGTTGAAACCAAAGCATTTCACGTCTACGATCTTGACTTCATCTAGATGAGTCTTGTTAAATTGGAAAGGGGTCACCTTGCTTTAGGGATTTCCATCAGTTACCCAAGTAAAAAGCATTTGTAAATGACTGCCCCATTTCGTGAGAACAGCCTAAGCCCTAAGGACGTATATTTCCTACGTATGCAGGTGTGTAAAAATAAGTACTTTTTTTGACAGCAAGAACTCAAAGGAAAAAGATTGTGAGCAAATAAAGTGACACGGCACACTGATTTTCAACATAACCTTCCCCAGCACTTTACTATTTATCATCTGCTAGGCATAGAGAGTCACACAGCCAACTCTTTGGCATGGTCATTCTGAACCAAGAAGAGGTCATTTTGGGGCTTCCATTGTTGTACCTTGGCATTCTCAGCATCATTAGTCACTTTTTGAGATGAAGAGGTCAGGTCTGAAATCTAGCCATGAGCACCACAGCAGATAAGAACCCAAAGGACTGACACAGGTACAAATGTGAGGTTCAGATTGAACTATGCCGAAGAGGGAGGACAGTATGAAAGATATGCAGAGTGGGTCTCTGAAGCAGATGCTTTTATGATCTATCCATTTTCTTTCTCTGTCACAGGAGGTCTCAGAGCACATCCCCATCCTTATCTGTGTTGGACAATCCTTTTAACAGCCTCCATTCATCGAGCCCTGACTATATGTGAAGTACTGAACTAAAAATTTTTCATACTATACTTTTTTAGTCGTATAAAACCCTATAAAGTAAGTCTGAACCATTTTATGTCTGGAAACTGAAGCTCACAGAGGCTAGAGGGACTGTGCAAGATTATAAAACTTCTGCATGATGACACTGAGGTTTAAACACTGCGTTTAAACTGGGTGTGTGGCACTCTTCTGTAATCCCAGCATTTAGGAGGCTGAGATAGGAGGATCACTGCTAGTTCGAGGCCAGCCTGGTCCACACAGTGAATTCAAGGTCAGTCTGAACTGTGTAGTGAGACCCTATCTCAAAAAACAAAAAAAAATCCTTGCATTTAAAAGTTGAACCCAAAATGTGAGTCCAAAGCTGAAACTTTTAAACTTTACCTTAAACTTCCACAACAAAAAATCTTGTACCAATAGATTCATTGCTATCACACAGTGTTTCTCTCCCATATGGGCTGAGCACCAGGAAGCAGCACTGCGTCCCAGCATGGCTCAGGAATGCTGCCCTGTCCTTCCCGCAGCCCACAGCGGCACTCATTCTCCGCTAGTGTTAGGCAGGGCTTCGGCTTTGTTGGCCATGAAAGCTACATCTGTGCTGAAGAGGGAGGAGAGGTGGTTCTGGGGTCATTGTGACTCTCATAAATCACTACTGTGGCACTGGGTTGTGTGTATGTGTGTGTGTGGAGTGCATAGCCAGGTTGTCCTTGTACTGTATATGGACCAGCCCCTATAAAAGGGGTTCAAGCTCTGGCCTTATAGCTGCCAGACTGCTGAGATGGGGAGGCTGTTGTTATGGGTTGGTAAGTGTGGAAGTTTCTAGCAATGTGCCTCAGTCCAGGAGGTGCCAGGCTTTCTGAGTCTGTCATCTCTCTGATCTCCAGTAGAGCAGCCTGGAGCTCAGGAGTCTGGATTCGGTAGAGATGGGATGGGACAGAATGAACATCAGGACTCAGGGAGAAAAGATCATAGCAGTGGTTCTCCAACCTGACTGAACATTAGACATGTGGTCTAATGCTTGGGTTCCTCCTTGCACCAATTAAATGAGAATCTCTGAAAGAAGAGCTAGGATACCGGTAGTTTTAAATTTGCAGCCAGGGTTGAGAACCACTGGCCTAGAGCTCTTGCTAGAACTTCTAACCATCTGCGTTCCTGGGCAAAGCACAGCTAGCACTTACTAGAAAGAAAAAGAACTTAGATGCATTTAGCTTTATTGGTTCAACATTAGAGGAGAATAGACGAGTGAAGGGTGTGTCTCCATTTGTGTATCTGTGTCTGGATATAGTGCCAAGTTGGTGAGGACACTCGCTAATCAGAAGGTGTGTGGGGCATGCAACTCAAGGTGTGTAGATGAGTCTGTGTGACTCCTTCCTCTGTTTCTTGCAGGGCTGGCTCTTGTGCTGAAGCACCATGATGGTAAGAAAATTGTGCCAAGGAGATTCTCTGGCTAGGAAGTCCTCCACCCTGCTTGTGCCTGTGCCCTGCAGCCCTGCCTGCCTGGCTCCTCTGCCAGGGGTTACTGATCTAATGCAGTTTAGCAGAGCGTACTTGGTCACCTGCTTTTTGTGTTACTCCAGGATCCAGACTTAAGGATTCCTTTTTGACCAGGATTTCATAAGGCATTGTGACCTTTCTACCTGGGGATCTCAGCAAGGGGGAGGGACTGGACTTCACTGTGTGTTTGGCGTGTGTGTGGTGGCATAGTGGAATCCGCTACAGTCACCTGGCCTCTTGCGCCAGGTGTTCACACTTCTCTCTGGAAGCTGAACTCCCCATCTTCCTTTGATCCCTGTCCACTGATATGTTCTCTCCCTCACTAGGTGCTGCCTACAAACTGGTGTGTTATTTCTCAAACTGGGCACATAGTCGACCAGGACCTGCCTCTGTTTTGCCCCAAGATCTGGACCCCTTTCTCTGCACCCACCTGATATTTGCCTTTGCCTCAATGCGCAACAATCAGATTATTGCCAAGGATCTCCAGGATGAGGAAATTTTCTATCCAGAGTTCAACAAACTCAAGGAGAGGTGTGTTTGTATTGGATTTGTGGTTGAATTCTCAGATTTTACTGATATAAGAGAATGAAGCCTATTTCTCCTACTACCTTTAAACTTTCCTCTGATCCTTCCTGTCCTAGCCTTATCCCAAACGCAGTTCTGGAGCTTCCATAATGTAAGGACTCCCAGTTAACAAATTCTGTGAGCTCCTTGTTGCCTCCTGGCTTTCATAGTTACTGCTGCTGCTTCTGCATGTCATCTCTCTTCTCTCTGCCTGGCAATCCCCAGGTCCCCTTTTGAGGTCAGGTGTGAGGATTTAAGGTATTAATGCTATTAAAATACTTCAAAGAGATTCTGAACATCACAAGGGCTCAACAAATGCTGATGTCTTTATCATCTTTCGTCACCTGCAACCCCAACCCCAAGTGGTGAGCTGCTCAAGGCAATGTTTTCTATGCCTTTGAACACCTAGTGGCTAGGTCAGAATCTGCAAGGAAGTAGCACTCAATAACTGTTTGCTTAAGTATTCCCTCTCCAGAACGCCTTGATTCTTTCCTTGCCCAAGGGGAGGTCTGTTGCTGCATACGTGGGCAGGATGAAAATCCTCTACCAGATCACAGGTCCCTGGACAAGGGGAGTTTGTCCATTATTTAATATTGTATCTGTAGCACCTAAAGCAATCAAGACACATAGTCATTGCTCAACAAGTATTTGCTGGATAAGTGAATGAGGGAAGAGGAATATTTTAGGCTTTTTTATTTATGGAAACCTTATGGGATTGTAGGGGAGTCTGGTGGATTTTGTGCGGCCTTTGAGCTGTGGGGCTGTGATGAAGCTTGGGCTGATTGCTTTCTCCGCTTTTCCTTTCCTCCTCTTTCCTGTGTTCTTCTCTCTCCTCCTGTTCACTGTTGCCCCCATGTTCCATTCCCCCATTCCCCACTGTTCTTCCAATTAGCAAAACAAAAAGGTGTTTTGGTAATTCAGGTAAATTCAGCTGTGCCCTGGCATGAAGACCCAGCTTACTCACTCTCTGTCCCACGTCCTAGGAACAAGGAGCTGAAAACACTGCTGTCCATTGGAGGGTGGAACTTTGGCACAGTGAGGTGAGCTCTTGTCAACAACTTTTTTCTGAGAGAGTGGAGCAGGGAGGCTAGAAGTGAAGATGGTCGGGTGAAAGATCAGCTTAGCTGTGAGGACAGCAAAGCTGGGCGGATGCTTTCCCAGCCCTGATTTCACCCTGGATTCAAGCCCCACCATGGAGGGTCATAGAAGATAAGAAAGTTGTAGCAGGTGGCAAGAAAGCGGGTGAGGCAGAATAAGAGACAAAATGGGACAGCCTCAAGCAAACCTCAACCTTCCATAAAAGGTAGGGGTTTTGTTTCTGAAGAGAGGGGTCTTGTGTGGATAAGAAGAATGAACTCCAAACCTCACAGGGCCTGGTTTCCTCACTTCATAAGTGGAGCCAGTGATATCAGCCTCTGTCTTAGTTAATTTTCTCATTGCTAAGACAAAATACACAACATCTACAAGTTAAAGGGAGAAAGGTTTATTTATCTCAGTTTGTAGAGATTTCCAGTTTATAATCAGCTGGCTCCAAGGCGGGGTGGCTTGAGGGGCATCGCAGAGGAGAAAGCAGCTCATCGCAGGCAGAAGACAGCCAAAGCAGTTGTTCAGGGGACAAGAAAATCTTCTTTCCGGTCCTTATATTGATTGTATCCAGGCTATCAGGATTAGGGTGGTGCCACACCAATGATTAGACTGATTTAGTAATCACCCACCCTTACTCCTAGCACCCTTAGTCCTAGCATTGCACCATGAATCAGCCACACACTCTAGATTCAGTCACCTCTGAAGAAGTCCCACTTATGACTGCATGAGGCTTTCGGGGGGACATTAAACACAAGCCAAAACAGCCTCAAAGCTGTGCTGGAGAATAGGGGGCCACTAAGCTAGTCTTAGTGTGTGGAGACAACATATGCATTCAGTGCGTCATGGATGCTCTTGTCAGCACTGCACCTCCATGAGGCAATGTGGATTAGACAACCTGCCTACATATTCTCTGAAAAAATGCTTCCCCTTTATCATGGCCAAGGCCTAGGCCAGCGGCCCACCTGCCTTCTCCCCTTTGAGGAAGACTTGGTGGCTCGGAATAAGTGGGAATGCCCCTTGTAAGGGTCCTCCAGATACGGTGGAAGAAGGATTCCAGATTGATGTGAACCATTTCTGCCCAACCCTTGCCTTCATCTCTGCTACTCTGAACACTTGCCATTGCCAGACCTGAGGCTGGGGGCTGCACATGCATTATCTTGCAATTGCCACGGATATTTTAAAGTGGTTGTTTGTGTTCTTAATTGGTAGGAAAAGAATGCAAGAGCAACTGGTATTAATAAACTCGCCAGATTTCTCCCAGGCATCCCTCAGAGCTCACCCAGCTGGGAGATGGCAGACAAGACAGTGGAACCCAGGCCTGTGTGTCTCTGAGTCTGATTATTTTTGAAGTATTTTCCACAGGGCTTGGACAGAGTTGCTTAAAATTCAGCTCTAATAAGTTAGAATTTTCCCAAAGTATCTTTGCTTTGAAAGAGAAAACAAACAAAAATCAAACAAGAAAATCAGCAAACAATGACCTCTTCTCTAAATGTATTCAGCCCAGGCCCGGATTAGCTCACAGAGCCTACTGGAAGTGCTGGTCTTGGCTCACCCTAGTCAGGGAAAGAATGTGCTAGCACAGGTGGTGGGAGCTGACAGTTATTGGTGAGGAACCAGGAAGAGCGCCTTGCCCGCAAGTGAACCTGGCCAGGGATCCTGAAGGAGGTTTAGAGTCTGTGAACAGCATTCTTTGCCTCTCGCCCTGGTCTCTCTGCAGATTCACCACTATGTTGTCCACGTTTGCCAACCGGGAAAAGTTTATTGATTCAGTCATCTCTCTCCTGAGGACACACAACTTCGATGGGCTCGACCTTTTTTTCTTGTACCCTGGACTGAGAGGCAGCCCCACCCATGACCGGTGGACATTTCTTTTCTTAATTGAAGTAAGACCACTCTGGGAGCACCAGAATCTAGCAATGGCTGTGCTTCTTTGTTTGTTTGTTTTTTAAATCATGTCTTAGCTCAGGGCTAACAGGGAGCACAGGGCTGGGGGCAGGAGCAAGAGATAGGAAGCAGAATATCTTTTTCCTGCTATCATCCCAAGAGGGGTTAGGTATACTTACTGCTGAGCAGGTATCTTTGGTTGCTCTTTTTCTGTCTGCATCTGGGTCTTGCTCCAGCCCTCCAGCCTAAGTGCTGCATTCCCTAAGCAGCATCCTGAGCTCCCTTGGGCAGTGTCAGTCTGGATTTTGTGCTCCCAGTCTGCTCACCTCATCTCTGTTAAAAATGTACCTTGTTAGTCTGCGAATGTCTTTCTTGATGCCTGCGGGCAGGGCCTGTCTCTGTCTCAGCTTTGTGTCCCCAACTTGGCCCAAGGAGCTCAGTACTATAAATGTCTCCTGGATGAAGCCTCTCCCCAGCTATTTTCACTGGTTCTGTCTTTCTTCCTAGGAGCTCCTGTCTGCCTTCCAGAAGGAAGCACTGCTCACTAATCGCCCAAGGCTCCTTCTCTCTGCTGCAGTCTCTGGTGTCCCACACATCATCCAAATATCTTATGATGTACACCTTTTAGGAAGGTCAGTAGATCCTGGTGGGGCAGGATGTTGGAGGTAAGTGGGAATCTTGAACACAGAACCCCAGATCAGCTCCTACACTGTCTCTGCATTCGTCTTGTGCCTGCTCTGGTGTTAGCAGGGTTTAGGAGCAGGCTGAGGAGGGTAGATAGCGACAAGAGTCAGCTGTACTGTACATACCCCAGGCCTTTCTTTAGAAGGTTAGAGGGAGATACTGTAGCAGTGGCCAGAGTTATCATGCATAGTCTTCTGCATGGCCTATTGTGGGTCTCACAAGGACAGAATGCCATGAGCCTGGCCTCCTCCTCCTCAGAGAGCACGGGTTAACAACCTTTGCTATAAAACCAAAGAGGAATGCCCATTCACACCCAATTTTCAGAGCAGATCTCTACGGCAAAGTTTAAAAAGGTAGATAGGAGTTGCATGTAAATCTTTTCAGACATACTGGCTCTGGGCTAATTTTCTTGAATCCCAGCAATCAAGTATTTACAGATGAGGAAACTGGGGCAGATGCAAGAAAAGAGAGGATGGGGTGTTTCTGTGTGTGACTGCACAAGGGAGAGCCATTTCAGTGTGGAAGAAATATGAGAAACCTAGTAGAGGATGGAGTTTGTTAGTGTTAATCCAGGAGCCAAGCAGGATTGAGAGAGTCCTGCGTTCATTCAGCTGGATGACTTTGGCAAATTAGTTAACCTGTTTGAGTTTTAAATTTTTCTGCTTCAAAATGGAGAAAGTTACGGTACTTAAGGCATTGGCCAGATTAAAATTAAATGAGATAGTCCGCGTAAACACTTCCACCTCTGATCTGGCACATGCTCAATTATATCTGGTCATTATGAAAGCTCGCTGGAGGGGTGAGTTTCAGTGACCGTTTGAATGGTAGAAGGGTTGCAACTCTTTTATTGCTATGGGACAGTATTGCTTTGATTCATGACAGCTGATGCAGACTTCTCTGAGTCCTGCCTACTCCCACAGATACTCTCGGCATGCATATAGCCTGGTGCACAGTTGTCCCTAACCATCAGTTTGTTCCATCTCAAAGTGGCTAGTGTAGTCTGGGCAGGTTGCATAGGCAGAAAGAGGAGGGAATGTCAGGGGACCAACATATGACTGCTTAGCTAGTCAGTGCTGATGTTCTGATTTGAAAGCTTGGCTAGTCTGACCTTCATATCCCCACCTCTGTTCCTTACAGACTCTTGGATTTCATCAACATCTTGTCCTATGATTTACATGGAAGCTGGGAAAAGTTCACAGGACATAATAGCCCCCTTTTCTCTCTTCCAGAAGACCCCAAATCTTCGGTAAGAAAAGAGCTCAGGCACTCCAGACATTGGTTCTTGAGCCCAGGCCATTGTCCATTAGAAATAGGGAGGCCAGGCATGGTGACATGTACTGTTTTTTTTTTTTTTTTTTTTGTACCGGGAATCAAACTCACAACCTTGCGCTTGCCAGGCAGGCGCTGTGCCGCTGAGCTAAATCCCCAGCCCCGGTGACATTTACTTGTAATCCCAGTCCTCTGGGAGGCCAAAGCAAGAGGACCACAAATTCAAGTCCAGCCAGGGCAATTAAGTTACTTAATGAGAACTTGTCTCAAAATATAAGGGACTGGGGATGTAGCTCAGTGAGTTTAATCCCTAGTATGGTGTGGGTGAGATGAGAGAAAGCAAACAAACAAGCAAGCAAACAAGCCAGCCAGCCAGGCAGCTGGGGGTGGTGGCACATGCCTGGAATCCCAGCACTCAGGAGGCTGAGGCAGGAGGATCACTGTGAGTTTGAGGGCAGTCTGGGCTATATAATGAGTTCAAGGCCAGCCTAAACTACATGATAAGTCCCTGTATCAAAAAGAGAAAGGAAAAGGAAAGAGAGAGAGAGAGAGATTGTGTTTTTCCTCCCTGCAGGCATATGCTATGAATTACTGGCGAAGGCTTGGGGCACCCTCGGAGAAGCTCATCATGGGGCTCCCCACCTATGGACGTACCTTTCTCCTCCTCAAAGCCTCTAAGAATGGGTTGCAGGCAGCAGCGATGGGACCGGCATCTCCGGGGAAGTACACCAAACAAGCTGGCTTCTTGGCTTATTATGAGGTGATGGGATTAGGGACCTCTGTCTAGCAGCTACAGGCCCTCTACCTGAGCTGGGGCAAAGATCAGGAAGAGAGGCAATGGCAGGGTGAGAGCTATGGACAGGGGAAAGAGTTAATTTATTGAGACAAGAAAACTCACTGTCTGGGGGTTTTCTTTTTCTTTGGTGGCAGTTGAGTCCTTTGTGAGGGATGAGAGACTCGGGAGCCTCAGTAGAAGGGGACAGAGATTTCACTCCTTAAAAGGACTTTAAATGTAATATAGGTAAATCCTGTCTTGCCATTTGACCTAAATAAAAATCGTTTGCTCCTTTGCGATACATATAATTTTGAACATGTTCAAAAGTAAAAGAATAACACCCTCCCCATATCTTCTACTCAGCTTCAGTCATCAATCCACGGCCAGTCTTATTTCACTTCTATTCTCTCGCTTTCTACATCCCCGCTACTAGGTTATTTTGAAGAAATTCTAAGACACTCGCTACCGTAGGTTCTTTCATTTCTACTCCAATGCCAACCCTTAACAGCCATCTTAACGAAGGCTGCCAGGGGGTGGGGTGGAGGAAACAGACAGGGCCCCAAGTGAACGTAAGGCCTGAGAGGAGCGTGAGAGGCACACGAATGTACGCCATAGGAATCTGGAACAGTCTTACGGAGCAGGTGGACTCTGAGCAGACTTTGAAACACAGGAGAATCCTGATGGGCAGGTGAAGCACAGCAGGTACAAAAACACGGATGCTGGGGGGAGCCAGATGGAGAGCTACAACTTTACCTAGGCAGTAAAGGGGGTGCCAAGTGTCTCCCCAAACTCTGCTCTAGGCTGTGTGGATGTGGACGTTTTCCTGACAGTCCAGTGAAGCACAGCTATGAGTGCTGGCATAATGCTTTTGAAGAATACCGTGGGTCTAAAAGAGTTTAATAGAAACTGTGAAGACTCAAAGAAAACAGACGTGAAGTAGAGATGAGCTTCTATAGTGTAACTTGGATACATCTACTTTTTTGCAGCGTAGTTTCTAACACAATTCTGGGCACCAGTAGACACTGGGATGCTTGACAGATTGTAACAACCTAGTTTTCCCTGCCTTTAAGACCTGTAAATCTACTAGAAATTATAGCACTGGTTTGATAACTACCTATATATGAGGCAGTCTGTGTTGAGATCTAGTGACCGCAGGAGAGATTTGTTTATGAAAACACTTAAAAAATGCAGGTCTAGTCATGGGGCCTGTTAGTACTTTGAGTATAACTCCTATAGCTTTACCCAACTTAGTTTTTTAAGTATATCATGTATTCCCAAGTTCTCTTTTTTCTTACCATGGATGCTAAGGAAGGAAAATGCAACAGATAAATTTATTCAGGATAGGCGCTCTTTTGTGAGTGGGTTTCCTACTCTCTCTTTAGTCTGCCTTTTTTTCATTCCTGGTGAGGGCTTTTTGGAACCTTTCTCATGGATAGGGCGAGGAACAACCATGCCTCCTAGTGTCTCTCTCTGTGGCACTACATGAAACTCACCTGCGGTTCTCCTGACAGGTCTGCTCCTTTGTCCAAAGAGCAAAAAAGCACTGGATTGATTATCAATATGTCCCATACGCGTACAAGGGAAAGGAGTGGGTTGGCTATGATGATGCCATCAGCTTCAGTTACAAGGTGAGACCCTGGCTCTTCCCCCTGCTCCTCTCTGTTCTTTCTCCCTCCCCTTGCCTTCTACCCCTCCAGGCTCCCTCCCTCTTCTCCTTTTTCTTCTTTTTTGGACCAGATATTTTCTTCTTTTCTATTTAGAATGGACAATTTTATAACAGGCAAATACTAATACAAGGCAGCTTATCCTAAGTTCCCCAGGAAAATTACTGATATGTGGCAGAGGTGGGAAAATCAGAGAGAGCTTCTTGAGGGAGGTGAGTAGGAATAGAAGATAATGATGTGAAGATAGAAGATAATGATGAAAGGCTCAGTCAGGTAGAAGCCCTCTCACAAGTTCAAAGAAGAATTTTGGTGGGTCAGAGACTTTTAATGGAGAAGCATACATGCTAGTAAAGAACTTTAGTTTTCATTGTGCAGGGATTTTGAAGGAGGGTTCCTGACAGGTCTATGATTTGCAAGTTTGAAGCATAACTTTAGAGTGTAAGTGTTTCTTAATCTCACGTAAGTGGTGTTTTACAGAGTTGAATCTGGCAGACTTTTTGTGAATTAAAACAGATACTGCATATCCCAGTGGATCCTGAGCTTGTCTCTGTTTTGAAATCATCTGAGATACCTGATAAATACAGAAATGTTTGGTTCCACCCATGAACAGTAGGCCTTGGAGAAAGTTTGGAGACTGTTTTTAGTACTGTATTCACATGTGATCATGCTGTGATCCATTTGGCATTTTGGAAGCTCTACTGGACACGGAGGGTCTAAGCATGAGATAATGAGGGTCTGGACCAGGGTGGTTGGAAGAAGATTCAGTTTGTGAGTGAGAATTTCTCAATATTTGGCGACTGCCTGCATATCAGGGTTTGTAAGTGGAGAGAATTCACACTTGTAGGTGAATGTAGAACTGACAAGTTTGGTGTCCTGGAAAGGGAGAAATCTGAGGTGGAAAACACAAGAGTTAGGGAGGTGAAGTTTCCTTTGCAGTTATACATGTAGCTTCTTTCTGAATAGCTCCAGTGAGGCTTGCTGGGGAGAAGAGAGGTGGGAAGCATGACTTCCAGGCCCTAGGACCTTTCTCAGTGGTTTGGGAATGGAAATTGGACAGAAAAGATCAGTGATCCCCTGGAAAAAGTAAATTGGGTGGACTTAAATTTAAGATCCATAGGACATCAGAGAAGATTTACCCCATGTGTTGGGAGAAGGTCCTGGGACCAGCAGTAGAGGTAGACTCACTTGAAGATCATTACTGTGTCTTGCAGAACTAGAGGGGACATGAGCCTCATGTGGGGCTGATTAAGGGACTTCATCACAGAATATCAGAGGTAAAAGAAACCTTGGAGATTGTTGCTGGGAGATAATTGTCCATGGATGTTTCAGGGACCCTACAAAGTGTGGGCTCTCTGAGCAAAGGAAGCAGACAAACTATAGCAAAAATGGAGAGCTGTCCTTCCCCCTTCTCTCGGGACCGTTTGCTCACATTCAAGGATTGTCAAAAGGCCCCTTCAAAAAGTGTTCACATATGAACAGAGCAGAAGGCACATTCTAGTGAAGTCAGCCTCCTCCGCCAGATATTCTGCCAGACCATACGAGCTCTCAAGCTCACAAGTCTGAGGTTCATTGCTGCATATGCCGGTTAGTCCCTCATCACACCGCCCTTTGGGAAGCTGGGATGTAAGAACCAACTCAAGGTGCTCTTCTACTTGCTCTTTTTGCTACGAATAATTCATAATAATTTGTTCCCTGATCTGGGTCCTGTGTGTGTGTGTGTGTGTGTGTGTGTGTGTGTGTGTTTGCTGACAGGCCGACATATTAGCTTATAAGTAGGATAAACTCTCAAAACCTCCACAATTTTAGATATAATAATTGGAATTCTGCTTTTTCTTATTTTACATTTGGGTAAGGCAAACCCTTGGCTAAGTCACACATCTCTTTGAATATGATGGAGTCTGTGTTCTCTATCAACCTTGCAGAGAGCACTGGCAAAACAGTAGGACCTGGATGTGAGTGTAAACACTCTCTTTTAGTTGTATCCGAGAGTTAAAAATTATGGATAAAAGCGTTTATCTTCTCACCTGTATTATCTGCTTTATCTGCACTTTGTAGGATCACCGTGTTGAAGTGATTTTTTTCAATAATAATAAAGTGATATCTGTATAGTTTGGTGAGTGATAGTGGCAGTTTGCAGGCTGGGAACACAGAGGGATGGTAGTCAGCATCTACTGAGCATTAGCTCTGTGCCAGATATTGATCTAAGTATTTTTATGTAGAAACTCTTTAACTTGGGTATACTCCTGCATAACGTGAAACATTTTAACCATTTTGATTCTATAATTCAGTGAAATTAAATACATTTAATTACATTTTGTGTAACTATCATCACCCTTCATTTTCAGAATTTTTTCGTCTCCTAAAATGAAACTCTGTACCCATTCAATGCGAACTCCTCATTTTTCCTAGCCCTTGTCAGTCACCATTTTACTTCCTGCCTCTATTAATTTGACTCAGAATACCTCATATAGAGGGATGCTTACAGTATTTGTCATTTTTTTGGTTTGGCTTATTTCACTTAGCAGAATGTCCTTCAAATTCCATCCATGTTGTAATACATAGGAATACTTTTGATCCTAGAAGTGTTGGAAATGTTATTTTTATTTTTTCACAAACGAGAAAAATTTCAAGATCCACTGGTTAACAAGTGGCAGAGGCTAGATTGAAATACAGGCTATACATAGTACTTCTGCATTGCCTCTTGAAAGGTCAGCTTCTGGTATTTGATATTATAACCAGTCTGGAGTGCAGCCAGTATAGCATGTTGACGGACTGTTAATTTCACAGGCAATGTTTGTAAAGAGAGAACATTTTGGAGGTGCCATGGTGTGGACATTGGACATGGATGATGTCAGGGGCACTTTCTGTGGCACTGGCCCTTTCCCCCTGGTATACATTCTGAATGAGCTCTTGGTGCAGACTGGTAAGTAGCTGTGACTTGGAAGTTAGGATTGGAATTTGCAGAATAAGGCACTGGGTGGGTCTATTCTGCTAAGTAAATACTTTGATGAGGCAACATGATATTGAGGGAAGAGAATAAACTTTGATATTAGCCAATGTTTTTTAATCTTGGTTGGGATATTTGGACCTTACTAGATTTTGTTGGACCTTACTAGAGATACTAGATCTCTTTGAGTTTCCTTTGCCCTCTGTGTAAAATGAGGTTAATCTTTATACTCGTGACATCATTATTATAAGAAGTAAGAACGAGAACGGTGTGGGCTTATAGTTAGTACTCCTTATACGTTAGGTAATATTTCTCTGTTTCTTTCTTTTGCTTTTACAAGCAAGGATTAGGAAAGGAAATTTAATTTCTTTCAAGATCCTGTTGATAATAGAGGCTACCCAGGCAGTTAGGAGATGGAACTTGGAATGCAAGAGCAGAAACATCCTTAGAGATTTTTCATAATCCTCACTTTATAGATAGCAAGACTGGTGCTTAACCTTGGTAAGTGTTTAGGTGGGCTCCATCCCAGGCATTTAGATCCTACTGTCCAGAATCTCTTTTGCCAGCACCTTTGTTCCTGATGCCTTTCATTGTGGAGACAAAAGAGGTTTCTCTCTGAGGATTCAACGTCTGAGGAATTATGGTTGGGGGGAAAAATCTTGCTGTTAGTGCAGAGGGATCAAAGAGAGGGCCTACACACAGGACTTCATGGATTACTCCCTGGAGTCATTCACCAGAAATGTAGCACAAGTGCCCATGACTTGGGAGCATGTTACGTGATGGGGTCAGGGAGAAGGCCTCCTGTGTGATGAGATTTTATCTGTGCCCTCAAGCGGTAAATTGTTAAATCTCCAAATTCCGGATTTTTGGAGCAGGTACTTCAACCTTGGAGTGGTTCTAGTCCTGCCAAGACAGGAAGAAAGAGCTAGGGTTCTCATCCTTTTCTAATTATTTTTCTCTAGATGTCAGCTCAACTCCTTTACCACAATTTTGGCCTTCACCTGCTATGAATTCTTCAAGATCTGACTCTGAAAGACTGGCTGTGACAAAGGCAATGATCACTGATACTATTAAAATTTTTCCTCCAGGAGGAGAGGCTGTGGCCACTGAGGCCCATGAAAACATAACTACAATTCCTCTAAGTAGAATTGTGACCCCTGGAAGGGAAACAGTATCCCCTAGAAAGCACAGTGTAGCTCTAGGAGGAAGTACTGAGGCCCCTGTGACAAAGACTATGACCTCAGTGGACCACTGGTCTGTGGCCACTGCAGAGACAACTGTAGCCCTTGAGCATCTTCAGACAGAGATCCCTGGGGAGAAGACCATGACCACTGTGGGTCATCAGTCTGTGACCCCTGCAGGGATGATTAGGACCCCTGTGCATCTTCGGGCTAGGACCTTTGGGAAGAAAACAATGGCCCCTAGAAGGAATGCTGTATCCTTTGACAATGACACTGCCCCCAGAAAGATGTTAGTTACCTCTGCTGGGAAAGCTGTGGCTCTACAAGGGGAGAAGTTTACTTCTGAGGTAGAAACTGACCCCAGGATGGGGGAAAGTGGCCTTTAGGTGGAAGGTGAAAAGAGGATGCTGTCCTTGAGCCCTTTCATCCATCTCCTAGGATGCATTCTCCTTGCTTTTGACAACCCCTTCATTCCCACTGATAGAAATCATTCGTCTACTGACTCAGTGAGCCTTGCAGCAAGTCCTCTCTCTGAAAAAAGATAAGCCAGAAAATTCTGCTGTGGATAAAGAATACGAAGCTCTGTTGGTAGCAGAAACTGGGAAAAGCTCTTGTCTTTTATGTGATAACACAATCAACCTGATCCCACCCATTGACAAACCATTCATGGGGTAAAGCAGGCACCAAAGCCATAGGGGGTCATTCTCTTTTCTGCTGAATAAATTGGAAACATAAGAATCTACTTGCAGTCTTTGTATTCTTTTCTTAAAATGAATTGAGCAATTGAATCAGCTTTTTCCTTTCTGGGTCATTTTCCCTACTACTATTTTTGGAAGGGAGTTTGTGTCAAGTCTACCATAATGTTTCCCACTGGATGATGGGCTTCCTTTTCTGCCATTATCAACAGCTCACTTCACTGTTGGTAGGAACCAGTATCTCTTCTAGAGCACGTTTCCACAATCCTTAAGAAAAGTGGGAGAATGAGGGAGTTGAGTCTTCCCATTATGTTTTCTGCTTGGTGAAATTTTAGCTGTACCTGACAAAGCATAATATGCCTATTCTCTCCTGAAAAAGTGGCTGAAAAGGCAAAACAGTATTTGAAACCTTTTTTTTTTTTTAATATTACTGGCCACCTCCAGAAACACCAATTTCTACAGATTAAGCATTTCAGTTTGCCCAGGGGCATCTTCCTGAGTATGACTGCCTCTCAGAAATTACTGCAGGTATAGGCCTGGGTTTAGCTCTCTACTTCTAGTAGCTTACACTACAAAAAGTGGCTGTCACATTTGACACTAATATTATGTATTAGTTGATTGTCTGTTGCTAATAATATAATGCCACAGAATGGGCAAGATATCAAGGAAGACATTTATTAGGGTTCTTATTTCCTGAAGTGGCTCAGGTCATCACATAGTGAAATGCCTGGTGTGTGTCTAAGGAAAAAAATATTGTCAAGAAAAAGAAATTTGCAGAATGTTTCAAGATCATATGGAACTGGAATGAAATGTGGAAAACTTAGACTCCAAATACGTGGCCAATTTTCAAAAGTTCATTCGTAGGCTCAAATTATGCAGGAGTCTAGCAAATATCACTAAGAACTTCTAAAAGGCAGAGTAAACTCTACAGTCTATGGTGGTAAGAAAACAAAGACATATTATGGGAACAAGTCTCCCTCAAATATGTGTCTTCCTTTCAGTGTATTTACCAGATTTGACTTGCACAAGCAGGAAGAGGGACAGCTGGGTTGGGAACTTCTGATGAGAGATAAATTCTTTCCACCTTTCAGGACTGAAGAGGTAGATATCCACCAGTTCTCAAACAAAAGCCAAGGAACCCTTTACCTGAGGAGCATGGGAAAATCTGAAGTAGATGAATATTCCAAAAGCTGCAACTGAACTCTGACTAACTCAATCTCTAAATAGATTGGGACTAGTTGGCTCTTACCCTTGTGCAAAATCAGGGATGAGAACCCTTTTCAGTGTAACAGATCAGATAATCTCAAACATGTATTTCACTTACTCGTACTCAAAAACAATGAGAAATGCAAAGAAATAACAAATTATTACTAATAATCAAGAGAACAAGCATACAGTAGAAACAGACTACAGGTGACTGAAATCAGTACTATATACAAAAACCTAATTCTTAGGCTAAGAAAATAATAGCAAAATAGATGAGAGAATGAAGTTCACTAGAGAATTAAAATCTGTAAAAAACTGAAGTATACACACATATCTATCTATCTATCTATCTATCTATCTATCTATCTATCTATATCCAACAGAAGACATATGAAAATGGTGCTATTCAATAGAATTTAATGCAGTCATCAAAGTGTTTTACAAACTACATTGTCCAGTAATACACAGTAGTCATACATGGCTATTCAGTGCTGGAAGTGTGGCTAGTACAACTCCAAGGAAGAGAATTTTAAGTTTTAAGTAATTAAATTTAGATTTAAATAGCTACATGATTTAGAGGCTACAGCACAACCCTACAGAGTTCATAGCAACACTATCCTTAATACTTAAAGATCTGAAACTTTCCAAGTGACAATATACAGTAGAATAAATAAATTGTAATATATTTAGTAGTGAAATAAGCTACATTGTAGGCTACATTATACCTTGTAGTGTATTATAGTAGTCTCCATTGTGAAATATCGTATAGCAGAGGATAGATCATTGACAGCTACAATTTGAATGAATTTTTTTTTGTTTTGTTTTGTTTTGTTTTTGTTTTTTTCTCCAGTACCGGGAACCGAACTCACGACCTTGTGCTTGCCAGGCAGGCGCTTTTGCCGCTGAGCTAAATCCCCAGCCCCTGAATTTTATAAACATAACATTGGTTGAAATGAGCTTAATGTAAAAGACTTATAGGGATGATGCCTTTTAAAAATAAAATACAATCAAGCAAAAGTAGGAAGTCATTGGGGTATGTGTCTAGAAGGGAGCACAAAGAAGCTTCTAGAGCGCTATATATGTGGCCACTTATTCTCCCTAAAAACGTATAGGAGTACTTGCCTCTGAGGAACACTGGCTGAGCATGTGGGTCTGAGTCCTCGAAGGCATCGCTGCTCTCTTCATAGCTGTCAGCTGCCTTCCTCCCTCTCTGTGACATTTAGGAAGAGAGAAAAAGAAGGCAAGGGGGCTGATTCCAAGATGAGGGGAATGATAAAGTGGAAGACTTATGAGAGGGAAGGCTGTTGTGGATAAGGGTGTGTGTGTGTGTGTGTGTAGTAAAAGTTGTATCTTGGGATGTCCGGGATCTGAAATAAGAGTTTGGAAAGGAACTTAATAAGTGTTACCTTTTCCTTTTCTCACATTTCCATATCCCTGCTTCATTGTCACCATCGTACATCAATGCCAGGAAGCTACACAGGAGCCTCATAAACCCTTTTGGAGTTCCTCTCTTCATGAATGCTACATTTATTGCTAGAGTGGAGAAACTACACCGGTTATATTAGAATCACATATCAACAGTAGATAGTATGTTGCCCATTGATCTTAAATAAGAATGATTCTCATTTGAGCCCCAGCATTTGGTTCAGTTCTTGTCCACCTTTTCTCATATGGTCAACACACTTTTCAATATTTCAAGGTACTCACCCCAAGGAACAATGCTGAAGTAAAATGGAAAGACTCCTGTGTCTGAACGTAGGTGGGACTAAACAGATGTCTTTTCCTCCTTGCCCCTCATCTTCCGCTCTGTGCCAGGACCCTGATGCCATAGACTAATATGTCTCACTAGCATTTTATGGGTCCCACAGAAGGGCTTTTAAAGAGTTTGTTAAAAGAAAAAGGAAATAATTGACCCTTGGGACCATTTACAATAGAAATGCGAGGACAACATTCAAAGCAATGTTTGGAGAGGGTCTCTCTTCTATTTATGCACATACACATGCAAATGTGTACATAATATAGGAGTGCTGTTATTTTCCCTTCCTCTCAAAAAACTTTTTGTACTCGGGAATTTGCAAGGTTCAAAGTTAACATGAGGAATGACAGTAAAAACCCACGACTACTCATCACCTGCACATTCCTCAGGATGAAAACGCAACCTAGCTCTGTGCAGGTGTGGTTGTGTTACAGAATGAGACAGGAGTGTAGAAGTTTAGGTTTGTAGAGGGTGGAAGAATATATATGAGGAACTATATGTCCCTCATTTGCCTTGAAAAGATATTTTCTGGTAAAATTGATCATTGCTTGCCAAGACTTCTCCAAGGCTGTGGTTTAAGGTGGGTCAGTAAAAAGTTTTAAGAAGAAACATAACAGATTACTAATGTAGAGATGGAGAGGAGACAACGTGACTGATCCTAAGGATCTCATTTAAAAAACTAGAGCTCAAGACATCCAATGTGCCCCCTCCTAGTCACTAATATGTTGATCTGTTCTGCAAGATGGCTGGAATTTCCCTGAGTAACTTCTGACAGTTCTCCAATCTGTACAGGAACACAATGTTGATTGTATAGTGTTCATGGAGGACTGTGGGGCTTCCTCTGTGATAAAAGTGTTGATAGGAGGCTCATAGAAACATACTTTGTGGTGTAGGATGTTGCATTCTCTCAGTCTCCCACATAGCAATGCCGAACAATCCTGAAGCTGAGGTGAGAATACTCTGGCACATCTTATTTGTACAATACAGCGAGGATTGGTCACAGGACTGGTGACAGTCAGGACCCGGGGAAGGCCAAGGGCAGGGAAGAGCAGGAAAAACTAGATAATTCAAGAAGGAGATAAGGAAGGCTGTCAGTTGACATGTGGAAACCCTGGAATCAACATAGTCTAATACTGAATGCATAGAGAGGCTTAATTAACCTTCTCTTTATTTCAAGAAAGACATTATTTACATTCTTCCCCTGTCTTTCCTCATGCAAGTTTCCATGCTGATCTTCCCAATATCATCAAGTAAAGACTTTGTTCCTTCCTCATTTCATTCTCACTGAAAATGTGTCTGTGTTCCAGTCTTAGTAATAGGAAACACCAAACTGTAGGAAAGATAATGGGAGCTCCTTCGTACACCAAAATAGGCAAAATATGTGCATTACAACACAAGACTTTAACCTCTTACTGCTGTCCTCATCTATTTAGTTGGCCCTGTCCCTTGTAGTCTATTGATGAAAAGTTGTCAAGTGCAAAAGATGGAAGTAGAAATGTGAATATCATGACCCTTTCCATACATTTATATATATTTTTTGTGTACCTACTACATGGAAACTACTGCTAAGTACAGTGGGTGATGTTTCAGGAATTAGCCTCCTTGAAGACCTCAAAAAGTAGTGAGTGATAAGAGAACTACTCACATTATGTATCTAACAGAGCTGACGTTGCTCTGTACTTCGTAATGCATTATCTTATATTATACCAAGGAAAAAGACTCAGGGAACTTACGTATTAATATGATGCTGAAAAGAACATTTTCTTTTTGGGCATGGTGGCACATGCCTGTAATCCCAGCACTTGAAAGGCTGAGGCAAAAAGATCAATTTGAGTTTGAGGCCAGTGTGAACTACATAGTGAGACCCTGTCTCAATCACCACCACCCCAAACTTTCTAAATATGGTAGAAGGTCCTGGAGTGTTAAAATTGAGAGATGCCAGAGATACAGATATCAGATTAAAAAGTCTTTAGAACTGTTTGAAAGATATGGTTTGACTTGTTTTGATGTAAGTGAGCAAAGTGCAAGCACAGGCTCAAACAGGCACAACTAACAGGTAGGCACAGGTTATCTCTGTCTAGACAG